CCACATACCTTTTCCTTTCAGTTAATTCCTTTGGGGCATATAAGCAATTTAATTTAGCAAACACCTATATACTACCTACTATTGTACCAGGGTCCCTGACTGAACAGTGGAACAGACAGGTAGCTTATACAGCTTACAGAGCTGTTTTCCTTAAGGAGTTTACAAGTTTTAGAGGTTGTCTGGCATGGTGGCCTATAGCTACACCCCCAACAGTCAGGAGGCTGAGGCACAGAAAGCTGGAGGCCAACCTAGCGTACACAAAAAAACCCACGGTGGGGTTTAAGAGAAAAAAACAACAAAAGGCCAGGTGTGGAGGTACGTGTTTAATTCTAGCACTTGGCAAGCAGAGACAGGCAAACCTATGTGAATTCCAGGTCCTAGTGAGAGCCCATCTTAAAAAAAAAAGGGGGGGGGGGGGATTCCCACAAGCATCAGAGGTTAAGATAAACCCAGGCCGGGCAGTGGTGGCGCACGCCTTTAATCCCAGCACTCGGGAGGCAGAGCCAGGCGGATCTCTGTGAGTTCGAGGCCAGCCTGGACTACAGAGTGAGTTCCAGGAAAGGCGCAAAGCTACACAGAGAAACCCTGTCTCGAAAAAAAAAAAAAAAAAAAAAAAAGATAAACCCAGAACAAATATCTTGTGTTTAAACCTAAGAGATTCCAGATCACTTTGGACATACTTCAATAGTCACTTATCATTACAAATCACATTTCTCCTAGAGTATGTGAACTTAACACCTAGCATGTGCCTGGAACTCATCATACAAATCAAACGTTAAGAAGGAAGACTTTAGGAGAGAAGGAAGGTGGGAAAGAGCAAGAAATCCAATGAAACATATGAGTTTAAAATCCAACTAAAGACATTTTACTTCCAAAACATACTATGTTCTGTTGAGTGGGGAACAGGTACGGCCAAGGAAAGATAACCTAAAAAGGACATAATCACATTTTTCTTCCTTTTCATTTATTTATTTAGTGTGTACACACATGTGCCTCTATGTGTGCCATGTTTAGAGGACAACTTGCAGAACTTGGTTCTCTCCATCCACTGTGTGGGTCCTGAGGTTCAAACTAAGGTCATCAGACTATCTTGGCAGCAAGTATCTTGACCTGCTAAGCCATCTCACTGCCCCCAAATAATCCTTTTTTTGAAAATACTTCTTTTAAACTCAAAAACTGAAAGCTTGTGTGGTGATGCCTGCCTGTAAAGGAGGATTGGTGTTAGTTCAGGGCCAGATTGGACTACACAATGGGTTCTAAAACAGCCTGGACTATAGTGACACCTGAGATCCTCCCAACTCTACCACTTCAAAGGGAGAAAATTATGACCTGCAAGACTACATACCCCCAGAATATCTGAAAGCTAAGAATAATTTGTACAAATTTAAAACATTAAAACAATAACAAAGGATCTAGGCTTAAGCATATAACCAGAAAGACCAAAATATGTATTTACTATCAGCTTCCCTTTTCCAGAAAGTTGCCTACCCCTGCTGTACTTTACAATGGCATTTTACATCTCACTAAATTGAGTATCTTGGTGATTTAAAATTTACATGAAGCCAGGCGGTAGTGGCGAACACCATTAATCCCAGCACTTGGGAAGTAGAGGCAGGTGGATCTCTAAATGTGAGGCTAGCTAGCTTGGTCTACAGAGTGAGTTCCAGGGCAGCCAAGGCTACACAGAGAAATCCTGTCTCAAATAACTCCCCCTCCCCAAAAAATTTTACATGTTAAGGCTATTTATGAGTTTTCTTTCCGACCTCTCTTCCCTAGTCTTTAATGTACTAACCAATTTCTTTACAGAGAAATAATTTTGCAAATTTTACAATATCCTGGTAAGACGTGGGTGAGGAGAGGCAGCAAAAAAAAAAAAAAAAAAAAATTGGTCATGTCCATTTTTGTTTAAGGGGTGTTCTAACACAAGCATTTTTTCTAGCAAGTTTAAGTCCCACATGGCTAAGCAAACTGGGCCTATGTTAAGCAAAGTCCACAATTTATATCAGCTGCAGACATCCAATACTGGGGAAAGGAAGGAGACCACCAGTACCCAGGGCTAACTCTGTAAATTGACTAGTAGCAGGCTGGAATAACACACATCTAACTTTTACAAGAACAAAACAGGAATGAAATGATGACTCGGGACTTACTACATAATTCCACCTATCAGAAAGATGAAGTGAGGGGCTGGAGAGATGGCTCAATGGTTAAGAGCACTTGCTGCTCTTGCAAAAGACTAGGGTTCAATTTCCAAAACCTGCATGGAAGTTCACAACAGTCTGTTACATCATTTCCAGGGGATCAGACTCCTTTCGGCCCTCTCACAGGCACCAGGCATACATGGGATACATATACATGCATGCAGGGAAAACAATCACACATATAAAATAAAATAAAAAGGTATAGTGACTCCATTTAAAGACTTCAAAAGCGGGGCAGCAAGATGGTAAAGATATATTGGGACTCACTTGACGGAAGGAATGAACCAATTCCTACAAGTTGTCCTCTGACCTCAACACATGGGCTATGTCATGCATAAAAACATCCACACATATGCACACAAGATGAATAATGTATATTTTTAAAAGATCTTAAAAAAATTAAGTAAAAAGAAACCCCAAAACTCCAAAGGCAATGAAGATGGTGCACCCTAGCAAGTATTAGGTAAGTACTAAGTAATAATACTTAATACAGAAGTATCAAGAAAATCTGGAAGTCTGAGAAGTGGTACAAACCTGCAGGCCTAACGTGAGAAAGGACTGAGCTTTCATTTCAGCACACTTAGTTATATGTTATGGGACACATTACTGAAACCATTTTCAGAGACAATCAGTAAAGAATAAAACATCCTGCCTTCCTAAACCAAAATGGAAAAGCTAGAAGTCTACTGTCCTTGAATCTACTAAAACCTAAATGCAGTTTCACTCAAAACTTTGAGACCATAAGTGATTAAATGTATCTAGGAAAACTCAGAATTCAATACTCACAAGTGATGAAAGTGTAAGACATAAAATAAGGGAGGGTTTAATTGGATTACCATATAGAATATGACTTGCTATAATCTATCTTTCATTAACAGAAACACCATTTTAAGGAAGTCAATAATCAGTATCACTTTGGTACAATGAACCCACTCCCATGTCCTATATGGGAAACCAACTAGAAACCAAACTATTTTTCTATACCAGGAGTCTGCAAAAGTTAAGCTCCCAAAATGTAAACCTACAAACTTCAGATTGTAAAGACATTCAATATTTTTTAAGATGTCAACACATGGATCTAGACAGCACTAGACAGACCATCCTGAGATACAGTGGAAGCTTGTCTCAAGAGGCAAACAAGGACTCGTTCCCAGCATCTTCAGACAGCCACAGTTATACTGGGCTGGGGAGATGGTGCAATGGTTAAGAGTACTTGTTCATGCAGAAGACCAGGTCCAATTCCCAACACCCATATGGTGGCTCACAATCATCCGTAACTCCAGTTCCAGGGGATCCAACATCTTCTGGCCTCAAGGGCACTGCATGCATGTGGTGCACAGCCATACATGCACACAAAACATCCACACTCACAAGAATAAAATTAAATTAAAAAGAAAAAGAAACAAACAAGATGTCAGCACATCTTTATAGTGGTTTTATAATTTCCAGTAATAAAGTCAGTTCCACAACATCAAAATAATCACCACAGAAGTACTTATGTCATTAATTACAATAACAGTTGGGACGGGGGAGGAGGGCTCCCACAATTCAAATTACTTAAGGTAGGGAAAATCAGTCCTGGAAAAGTGACTCTGAAACCACTGGTATGCACTGCAAGAGTGTTAATTCTCACACAGGACTTGTTAAGCATTTATATAGCAGTTACATTTGCCAAGTGCTTCATAATAATTTTATTGGCTGTTTCTAGTCCAAAACAACCCATGGAGAACTTTACAGAAGAGGAACCTGGGCCCAGAGAGGAACCAAAGAAACCAAGTTTACCCTGGAGGAAATAACACCATTTGCTTCCATGCCAGATCCTCCTAATCACATTTATCTGCAGTAGCGATTTTGAAAAATTAATGAATATGGTAAGAATCAAGGAAACATCGCATTGAATTCGAACAAAATGTTAAGAGATTGTGTGTCCACTTTTAAATACTTGAGCCAACGAGACTATATTATACAGACACAATTATAAGGAAGTAAGGTTCTCCCGAATGACAGGCTTAAAGCGCTAAACATAAAGGGTTAACCCCAGCCCGCACCTGATTCTAAAATGAGTATCAAAGGGGTTCATGAAACAAGCTCAAAGTCAGGTTCCGAAATAACAGACAGGCCCGCTACAAAAATCAAACACTACAGCCCAGCTAAAAGCCACTGAGTGCAGGGAGGAAGTTCTGTACAAGCCAGACTGCAATTGAGCACGCTCAGTCGGGCCACCTTTCGAAAGATAATGGTTCGAACCAAAACTTGCGGTTTAACCCGTGCCCATCTCAGCACCAGCAATGGATTACACCCAACACTCCGCAAGACAACAGAAAACTTAAGCCATCCTTAGCGGTGAAGGGAAGTTCCTTCCCTGCCCCCATTTAAACCCACCTCTTTCTTTGATCTTCGTGTTACATCTTAATGAGAAAAAAACCTATAACCTCACCCAGACCGCAGGCAGTCCGGTCGTCCTGTCCCCTGACCCCAGGTCCCTCACTCACCCAGGGCGAGCGACTCCTCTTCCCACCCGGAGCCCAAGCCCGCAGACCCAACACACATCCCTCAGGCCCACCGCCCAGGGCCCACCCGGCGGCGACCCACATCCCCAAGCTCCTCACCCCCATCGCACTTCCGCCCGGGTGTCGCGGTGACCGGCCCTCCCCCAGCCCCCACCCCATCTTTGTCTGGCTCCCCCACACCTCAACGTTCCCAACTGCCAACGGCAGCCCTCCCTCTCTCCCTCCCTCCTTCCCTCCCCACCGCCCACGCCCACCCGGCGCCGCGCGCGCCCGCCCGCAGGCCGCTCACCTTGTCCATGAGCTTCCAGCACTTCTCCACCATCTTCTTGTCCACCGTGCCGGGAGGGTGCGGGCTGAGGTGGTGGTGGTGGTGGTGGTGGTGCGGCTGGAAGGCGTCCTTCATGAGCCCGATCAGGCCGCCCGCGCCCGAGCCCCCCGAGCCGCCGCCGCCGCCGGCGCCCGAGCTCTTCTTCACGTTGCCGGCCATGGCCAGCGGAGGGTCTGGAGCCCGCTCGGCCGCGAGCGAAGAGAAATGAGCGGGGCGAGAAGGAGGGGCCTCTCCGGCGAGCCACCGCCGGCGCTGGCAGCTGAGGGAGTGTGAGAGGGAGGCGCCCGCCCGGAGGCGCGCCCCTGCGCGAGCGCGAGCGCGGGCGCGGGCGCGGGCGCGGCCTGGCGCAGCGCGGGGGCGCGCGCCGGAGACCGACGAGCCGCGGACGACCGCAGCGACCGCCGCCGCCGCCGCCGCCCCCCCCCAAAACCCCCCAAACTCGCGCGCGAGCTCACGAGCACCCGCGTGCCCGGCAGCTCCCGGAAAGCCTGCACCAAGTTTCCACGCCCACTGCTCCCGCCCCGACCCTCAGGGACGGGGCGTGGTCACCCCGGGGCGGGGCCCAGAGGAAACTCGGCGCCTGCGCCCTCTGCTGGACGAGCGAGGAATGGAAGGAAAGAGGTGGGGTCCAAGGTAGAACCTGCGCACTAGGCAGAAGCCTGGCCGTCCATGTTCTTTGTGGACTGGGCTTGGTGCCTCCAGGGAGTGAGTCATTGTTAGGCTCGGATCAAGACAGGCCGGGATGGAAGGAGCCATCACATCAAGTCTTTTACCCACTCCCGACAAGTGTGGAGGCTGAGTTTAGAGCTATGTGCTTCACATTGTGAGGAAATGGAGAGAGCCAAAAGTTCCCTTTCCACTCCCTAGTGGTTCTATTTTTTGTGGTGCTTGGAATTGAACCTATCACCTAACACATCCTAGACGAGCACTCCACCCACCTTGAGCTATATCCCTACTCCACCATCTTGTTTCACCATGTAGCCCTTGCTGACCTGGGATTTGCTTTGTAGACCAGGGCGGCCTCGAACTCATAGAGATTCACATGTCTCTATCTCCCGAGTGCTGGGATTAAAAGTCTCCTTGGTATTTATAGCCGGCAGAGAATGGGAATTCGGCTGCTACAGCTTTTTGCAGACTGATTAAGCCCCAGAAAGGCTTAATGTTTGGGACACTCGAGGCCCAAGCTCTTCTTTCAGGCCCTTTAACTTTTTTTGAAACATAACTTTCTTTTAATCTTTTTCTTTCTGAACAGTACTTCCGTTTCTGGGAACTGAATATGTATTTAAAGACTGTTGCTCAGCGGAATGCACGCCAGCACGAGGCCCCGCCTACAGAGCCTGTGAGCAGCTGTGAGCATGGCCAGAGGGGTTCTTGCATACGGGAACAGAAATTCAACTCCCAGTCGCTTCCACTTCCCTAATCTCCAGGCTACTTTGGAAGAACTTTGAAAATAGGAACTTCTTTTCCAAAGAAGGAAGTGCCCTGCCTTGATTTGCTAATCATTGGGGTTTTTGTTGTTGTTGTTGTTTTTGTTTTTTCTCCAAAGTCCTGACCTGCCATTAAATACTCAGCTCCTCCCTATATCTGGGTCTTGGCTCTTCCACCAAGCCCTTTAGTGGTAGGTCGCTAGCTTACCCAGTACTTCTTCAAGAGAGGAAAATGTCTCTGAACTCCAGAGCTATTCAGTTCAGTCTCACAACTTTGGTTTGCAAATCAATCACCTTTTTTGTTTGTTTGGTTGGTTGGTTTTGTGTTGAGACAGGTTTCTCTGTGTAGCCCTGGCTGTCCTGGAACTCACAGAGATCCACCTGCCTCTGCCTCCTGAGTTCTGGGATTGAAGGTATAGTGCCACTGTGCCCGGCTACAAATCAATCATCTTTAAGACATTTCTGAATCTTTATAACCATTTCACATCAGTAGACTGCCCTTTGATCAGTTTCTTTGTTTTGTTTTTTTTTTTTTTTTGGTTGTTGTTATTGTGGCGGGTGGGGGGGGGGTTTGGTTTTGGGGGTTGTTGTTGGTTGTTGTTTTGAGACAGCCCTGACTAGAGTTCTGCACCACTACACCCAGCCTTTTATCATTTTCTACCTAGAAAAAAATAAATAAATAAAATAATCTACCAAAGAAAATTTGAGGCAACGCTCTAAAATTATTGTCAGGATTTTGTACGGCCTGTGCCGCCACCCTAGTTTGTTGGCCTTCCTTTTGACTCCCTGGAATAGTGAAACCTTCCTCACTGACACTGTTAGTTCATCTTGTCACTGACAGAAACACACACACACACACACACACACACACACACACACACACACCAAACTTTTGAACCCTCCCCATTGTTACATCTGTAATGAAATTAACAGTCACAATCTTACCTAAAGTTGTATACTACTCCAAGATTCGGGATCCACGATACACAGATCCCATGCTGGATAACTCTCTAAGTCACAAAATACAATAGTTACATTTTCATCACCATCACAGAGTGTATCCCCTCTGCCTGGAGTGTGCTTCTAAGATCCAAATCATTCTTCACAAGTCAGTTGGGCAGGGCAAGCTGCTGCAAGCCTGTCATCTGAGCACTTGGGAGGCTGCAGTTTAGACAGAAGACAGGAGTTGATGCCAACCTGGGTTACACAGGGAGACCCTATCTCAAAACAAACAAACATCACCCAGCTCAAGCATCCCGCAGAGAAAGGTAGTCCTTCACGTCTCTAAATTGCCTTTTGTTTCTTCTGGGGACTGAAACCCAGGCCTCAGATATGCTAGGCAAGTATCAATCCACTGAGCCGTATCACCAGCTCCATTTGTCTGGCTTTATGAGACAGTATCAGTATGTATCCCAGGCAGCACTCAGTCTCATTAGACTCCAGGCTGATTTATAAGCTCACAGAAATTCTCCTGCCTCAGCCTCCTGAGTACTAGAATTACAGGCATGTACCACTATACCTGGCTTATATTTCTCTCTTATGTCACATGACAACATGCTATATACTATCTTGCTAACTTTGGATCTTCTATAGTACCTAGCATTATGTGGGTGCACCAGGGTGTTTTTCAGTTCTAGAGTCAATAAAGTACAAGGTAGTTCTATGAACCTCTCTCTCTCTCTCTCTCTCTCTCTCTCTCTCTCTCTCTCTCTCTCTCTCTCTCTCTCTCTCTTTCCCCCCTCCTTCCCTCCCTCTCCCTCTCTCTCTCCCTCCCTCCCCACCCCCACCCCGTGTGTATGTGTGTGTGTCTGTCTGTCTGTCTGTCTGTCCGTCCTATGGGTTCACAAGCTTGTCTAAATGTACAATATACATCTCCAGCTTGGTTTAAGATTTCCAATCTGGAGCAGGGTGGTTGTACTGAACGCCTTTACTGCCAGCACTCAGGAGGCAGAGGCAGATGGATCTCTAACTTTGAGGCCAGCCTGGTCTACAAAGTAAATTCCAGGACCTCCAAGGCTACACAGAGAAATCCTGTCTTGAAAAACCAAATAATAATAATAATAATAATAATAATAATAATAATAATACTTCCAATCTGAAGCTGGGAATAATGGTGTAGGCCTTTAATCCCAGTTTTTTGGGTGGCAGATGCAGGCAGAGCTTGGTAAGTTCAACCTGGTCTATATAGTGAGTTCCAGGGCAGGCAGTGTAATTGGTTGTTTTAACTCTATGGCTCTTTGGGGGGCCCACCACCCCCCTCCCAAATCAATCACACACGGAGGTTTATACTTAATTATAAATGCCCAGCTTTAGCTTGGCTGGTTTCTAGACAGCTTTCTAAACTTTAAATTATCCCATCTACCTTTTTCCTTTCTCTATTTCTGTGTATCTTACTTTCACTCTTACTCCGTGGCTGGCTAAGTTGCTCAGTGGCCGGGTGGCTGTGTGGCTGGGTGGCTGGTTGGCTGACCCCTAGCATCCTCCTCTCCTTGTTCTCTTGCTCTTTCTTTTCTCCTCCCAGATTTCTCCTTCTATTTATTCTCTCTGCCTTCCAGCCCTGCCTATCCCTTCTCCTGCCTCAGTATTGGCTGTTCAGCTCTTTATTAAACCATCAGACATTTTAAACAGGCAAAGTAACACAGCTTCATAGTTAAACAAATGCAACATAAAAGACTGCAACACATCTTTGCATCATTAAATACATGTTCCACAGCATAAACAAATGTTACACATCTTAAAATAATATTCTACAACAAGGCAGGTCTACAGACTTAAAATAATATTCTACAACAAGGCAGGTCTACAGAGAGAACTTCTCTCAAAATAAAAATAATAATAAAAAAAAGATTTCCAATCTGTGTTGTCTTCAGTAAAGTCTACATGGAGTGGAATTATATAGCACACATTTTGTTTCTACTGCGGCAGGCTATATTTCTGTTTCTTTTTTGGGGGGGCGCACGGGGGGGTGGGAGTGGGGGGGGTGTTTGTTTTGTTTCATACAACAATGTAAGAGTTCACTGAGACAGAAGCACCAGCGCTGAATCATCAGGAGGAGACAAATTGGTGAAATTATTAAGGCCACTCCACGTAGTTAAAAGGGAGGTTTATTTTGTGGGGTAACTTACAAGTGAAGGGATAGGTTACAGAGTCTGGGAAAGGTGTGGCGCAGTCCAGCGGTGTTCTGTGGAGAACTCTGCTCCATCTACCTCCAGCGTCCAGGGTCCAGGAACCAAGAGAGCTCTCCCATCTGGATCTCGGGTCTTCAGGGGTCCTCTCTCGGCTCCGCCTTGTAGGCATGACAAGTTACTGAAGCCTCAAAGGGGGTGGTATTTCCAGGTCAAAGCTGGAACGGCTACCCACTACAAGACAGCTGTTTTTTTTTTTTGTTTTTTTTTTTTTTTTTTGGTTTTTTGAGACAGGATTTCTCTGTGTAGTTTTGCGCCTTTCCTGGAACTCACTTGGTAGCCCAGGCTGGCCTCGAACTCACAGAGATCAGCCTGCCTCTGCCTCCCCAGTGCTGGGATTAAAGGCGTGCGCCACCACAGCCCGGCAAGACAACTTTTTAAATTCCAGCAAAACTCTGATTTGTGCTCATTAAGTGCTTGCTAGAATTGACTTTATTCTCAGTACCACCAAGAGCTGCACTCAATCCCCATGTCCTCTTTATCCCAGAATTCGCACTGCTGGTTTATATGGAGGCTGCCAACTCTCCCCTAACCATGGGAAAGGTAGAGCATCCATCATGATGTTTTGACCTTGACCCTTCCTGCCAATTTCCTGGTAGAAGCATAACATTCACAAGGAACAAAAGACAGTGACCCAAACACTGGAAGCCTACACCATCCCCCAGGCAGGGGTCAGCAGTGCCATCCTTGTCTTAGAGAGCCCGATACCTCTTAACTCTCATGTGTTCAGCAGAGAAGTGGCCAAGAGCCTAGAAGCTCTTGTCCCCAGAGGGAAGCCAAGAGAGGAAAGGAAGACCCACACTATGCTTTATATTTTTTTAATGGCTCAAAATCTATCCCAGATAAGATGGACACAATTTCCTAGTTTCAGAGATTTGAGAGCCACACCCTGGATTGCGGTAGCCTTTGCTGCCCATTTATATCACCTGGAAGACAGGACCCTCTGCAGACGTACTAATAGAAAAAGCCTCAGGCCAAGGCCTGGGGTTTCACACATATTTGCTTAATCCACACCAATCACATAAAAGAAAAGAAAAGAAAACAAACAAACAAAAAACCAGGATGCAAGGGCCACATCTGAACAGACTTTCTCCCATTAGTTAATGATAATTCTTTTTGTGCAGAGACACGTGCAACAGGGGAAACGTTGATCATCTCTCCATCCTAAGCAACTGTTGCTTTCTTTTTTCTTTCCTCCCCGGTTCCGGTTCCATTTGGAGACAGGTCTCACTTTGTTTCCCAGGCTGACACTGAATACTGGATCAAAGGGTCCTTCTCCCAGAGCCTCTCAAGTAGCTGGGACTCCACAGGTGTGTCACTCTGCCCGGCTCACGGTTCCTGGAGGCCAGTGCTGCTCAACCTGTGGGTGGAGACCTCTCTGGGGGTCGGACGACCCTTTCACAGGGGTCGCCTAAGACCATCAGAAAACACTGATATTTACATTACGAGTCATAACAGTAGCAAAATTACAGTTATGAAGTAGCAACAAAAATAATTTTATGGTTGGGGGTCACCACGGCATGAGGAAAGTTGGGAACCACTGCTGTAGGTCAAGGCCATTGGGTCTCTGATCAGGCCATATTTCTTTTTTTTTTTTTTTTGGTTTTTCGAGACAGGGTTTCTCTGTGTAGCTTTGCGCCTTTCCTGGGACTCACTTGGTAGCCCAGGCTGGCCTCGAACTCACAGAGATCCTCCTGGCTCTGCCTCCCGAGTGCTGGGATTAAAGGCGTGCGCCACCACCGCCCGGCTCAGGCCATATTTCTTTTAATATATAAATAAGCAAGAGATCTTCCTTCTTATAAAACTCCTCAAAACTCTTGTCTAGATCACGATGTGGCGGTACACACCCTTAATTCCAACCCTCAAGAAGCAGAGGTAGTTGGAGGCCAACTTAATCTACATAGTGAGCTCTAGACCAGCCAGGACTACACAGTAAGAGCCTGTCTCAAAAATCAAACAAACAAAGCCCTCCTGGATAGATCTTATTCAAAGGAAGACAGGAGCCAGCAAGATGGCTCAGTGGTAGGTGAAGGTGCTTGCTGCCAACCTTATGACCTGAGTTCAGTCCCCACGATGCACAAGGAAGAAGGAGAGAATCAACTCCCACAAGTGGTCCTCTGACTTTTACATGTGCTTTACAGTGCGCGCGCGTGCGCACACACACTACATGTAATACAAATTTTAAGACTCGTGTTTATTAGTTATAATAATCTGCCTGTGTGTGTGCACATGGGTGAGTCTTCTGGAAGAGCAGCAAGTGCCCTTAACTACTGAGCCATCTCTCCAGCTCCCAAAAAGTCTTTAACAGAGAAAAATAGATATACTGAAATGATATTTCTTATCATCGATTCTAAGCTGAAGTCAATGAAAAGAAAAGGAAGAATGGACCTTTTTCTCACAGTTTTATTCGTAAATATGTCTTTATTTTATGTGTTTTCTGAATATGTTCTAGAAATGGGTTGAAATGCTGAACACAATGCCATCCTTCTTCTGGGTTACGTTGGGACCAGTTCGTCACGTGACAGGTGGCACTCTTTTTTACTCCACTTCACCTTGACCTCAAACCACATCCTGATTCTGCACCTGAGAGTCAGCTGACTGAACATATTTGTGAAAATAAATGCTCTTCTAAGGCCTGAGGTACGGCTTGCACCCTGTCACTTCTATCCTCGACGTGCCCTTCCAAGCACCAACATGAGTGACACAGTGACACGGTGGAAGAAGTCCCAAACACGCTCCTGGTGCAAAGGAAAGGGCAGGAACTCTCGGTGTACTCCAGGGCAGGAAGAGGAGACTCTAAAGGAAGAATAAATGAAAACATGGTGGAAATGAGAACAAAGATGTTCTCCATATCCGGGAAGCCAGCGCAGCCTCACCAGCCCCAAGTTCCATGGGTTGTAAGCATCACAGAGACAGGTTCGACTCTTCTCTTTAATCTATAAAATGTCCAGAGCAGGGCGGGAGCCATGATTCAGCAGTCAAAAGCAAGCGCTGCTCATGCAGGGAAGCTGAGTTTGGTTCCCAGAACCACGATGATGGGCTGCTCATCTGTAACTTCAACTCCAGGGGCTCCATGCTCCCTTCCAGCCTCTTTGGGCACTGCACTCACAGGCACAGGCCCACACACATCTAGCATAATGAAAAATTAAAATTAAAAATCGTTTCTAAGATATCTAAAGTGTCATGGGGTTAAATAATCATGGATTGACCTTCGGCTTGCTCTTCACAGGTGAGAGATTTACTCCCACATCTTACACCCATTTCTGCAGTTTTTGCTTCTGATAATATACAACTGACCAAAATGTAAGGGGCTGGGACACACAGAAGTGCCTAAAAAGAGTCTGTAGAGCCGGCGGTGGTGGCGCACGCCTTTAATCCCAGCACTCAGGAGGCAGAGCCAGGTGGATCTCTGTGAGTTCGAGGCCAGCCTGGGCTACCAAGTGAGTTCCACGAGAGGCGCAAAGCTACACAGAGAAACCCTGTCTCGAAAAACCAAAAAAAAAAAAAGAGTCTGTAGATCCCATAATCCACAGCGAGGAAGGCTTGCTGCTCCGTTCTAGGTACGATACCATTGTGATGCCCAGTGATGGCATGGTTCCAGGATGGAGCCCTCCCAGCTCGAGGGGGGACAATAGCAAGCTATCTGTCACACTCTCTGCCTACAATCAATTTTTAATCACCCACGAAATGCTAGAAATGCTAGATTTCCCAAAGGGAATCTCCCCCGATATTGCCCAAGAAATACTAAACTGCAAAATTTAGGAGACGCACGTCAAGCAAGTCCACTAGAGGGAGCGCTAACCAACTTTATGCTACAGGGAGCTTGGGGGCTTCTAAACACCTGTCTGCAGAGTAATCTCATAAAGAAATAGGGGGAGTGAGACAATAATTGACTGAAGAGAAAGAAGTCCTGTAAACACATCACTAAAGTCTAGGGCTTTCAGGAGGTACAAAACTTATTCACCAAGAAATTGAAGCTGAGCAAAATTAAATAGCTCAATTCATGACTCTGCCCAATTCATGGCCTCCCCTCTGGGTCAGCATCCTGAAGTCCATGACTCTACTTCTCTGTTCTCATTTCCCTTAAGTGGAAAACTCTCTCGGTTACCTGTGCCAGCGCGTGTTTCCCGCACACACCACAGACAGCCTTTCTGAAGTGGACCTCGAGTTCTTTTTGTTTGTTTTTGTTTTTTGTTTTGTTTTATTTTTGTTTTTTGAGACAGGGTTTCTCTGTGTAGTCCTGGCTGTCCTGGAACTCGCTCTGAAGACCAGGCTAGCCTCGAACTCAAGGAGATCCACCTGGCTCTGCCTCCCGAGTGCTGGGATTAAAGGCATGCACCACCACCACCACCCGATTGGACCTCGAGTTCTAAAGCAAATCATGTCACTGTGTTCAGGAGACCTAGAAATGTAAAGTACCTGTGATGGCTTCTATCCCTGCCTTCCTCTACATCTGTAAAGCACTATTCTCTCAGACTGTACACTCCTAGATTTCTAGACTGGAAAGTCTGCAGATTACAGGCAGTGCCTGTGTAGACATGAATAATAGCTATTCAGCCCCAAGGCCTTTTCTTTAAGGCTTGGTTTTGGAGGTAAGAGGAGAAGCCACCTACAGGACCTTTGTGTGAGCCGATATAGCCCATCCTACCTGCCTGTGAACCCAGTGTTTCCCAGTTGCCTAGACAGCAGGCAGTCTCCAGAAACCCAACACCCCAGTTCTTGGTCCTACCCCTTGGGGAAAGTTTTTCACCCTGGATTGGTTCCCAGGACCCAGGCTCCTCCCTAAGCTCAATCTGCTTGGGACTCTCTTTGTCCTCCCCAAGAAGGGTCATTCCCCAAGGAGACAGACACCACACAAGCAAGAGAGGGTCCTGTAGGTGGGAAGGGGAAGAATAAGCATGCTGGGGAGAGAGAAGGGACCAGGTCCAGAGATTTCTGTCCTCTGAGAGGGCTGACTGCTGCCCACAGAACTGTTCTTCCTTCCAGACCTGCCTCAGTTCCCAGGAGACCAAGAACCGAAGCTTCTAGAAAGCATAAGATATCCTGGGAGACTAGAATCCTGACTGTCCTGAGACTCCTACCGCCACCCAGGAGTCAGGAGAGCGTCTCTGTATACAGACCTACCCAGCAGGTCTTCCCTCCCCCAGGGCAGCAAGGATGCCACCTAAAACCAGAGCGAAGGGGAGAAAAACCGGAGCACAGAAGAAAAAGAAAAATCCAAGTCCCGGTGAGTCACAGTGTGCGTCCATCCGTGACACCAAGGTCCTCAGAGGGAGTCCAGCCCTCTGGGCAACAAGATGGAGTGCGTTTGTTTGGGTTTTGTCTTTTGTCCTTTTGACACAGGGTCACTATGGGACCCAGGCAGGCCTCGAACCTATCTTCCGACTCAGTCTTCCTAGTGCTGGGGTTACAGGCCTTGCCACCCCACTTGGGTAGGGTGAAGCTTTCTCGTCCTCCTCTCCAGAGCCTCGGGTCCAGATTCCACGGGGCTGAGGAAGTGGAGGATGCCTCCCTCCCAGATTCCCCCTGGAGCCCCGCCTAGCTCTTGACCTTCACCCTGTTTTTCACCCTTATTTTGAGCACCCACCGGGTACAGGGCAGTGAAGACTCAGTCGTGAATTTGTAAGATTTTGCCATCAGGCATCCCTCCTCCAGCGATCTCCCTCCATCACGCAGGACGTGGGAGGAGGGCCCGGGTGGGACCGAGATCAGGATAACCTAAGACTCTATCATCTTGCCAGGACAGATGCAGAGGCTGAGGCCAGGCACAGGCTGGTGCTGCTGGAGAAGGAGCTGCTTCAGGACCACTTAGGTAAGAAGTCTGAAGCCTCAGGAGGCAGCAGAGACAGAATGCCCTAGTTAGGGTTATTGTCGCTGTGATGAAGCACCATGACCAAATCAGCCTGGGGAGGAAAGGGTTTATTTGGTTTATGCTTCCAAATCACTGTTTGTTACTAAAGGAACTCAAGCAGGGCAGGATCCTGAAGACAGGAGCTGATGCAGAGGCCCTGAAGGGGGGTTGCTTACTGACTTGCTTCACATGGCTTGTTCAGCCTGCCTTCTTATAGAACCCAGGACCACCAGCCCAGAGATGGCACCATCCACAGTGGGCAGGCCCTCCCCATTAATTACTAACTAAGAAAATGCCCTAAAGATTTGCCTATAGTCCGATCTTACGGAGGTGTTTTCTCAGTTGAGGCTCCCTCTTTCTTCTCTGATGACTCTAGCTTATGTCAGGTTGATAATAAACTAGCCACTCAGCACATGGCACCTGGGGGCATTTCTGGGTTCTTGGGGGAACTGGAAGTTTGAACTACGTGCAGGGCTAAACCAAGCTAGCCATTATCTGTTGGCAAAGACTGTGAGGAAGGGCTGGGTAGTGGAGATCAGTGAAAGAAGCTCTTCCTGACCCCCGCACCCCCAACCCCCACCCTCAGTGCTGGGAATGGAACCGCAGCCTCATTCGTGATGGGTGAGTGGTCTACCGTGGAGCTGACCCACAGCTCGGGGAAGCCATTGTCTTTTAGTAGCCAGAATGTGGGAGGAATATTGACTCCTTAGGAATGAAAACCCTATAGGTTCCGGGGGAAGGGGGGCAACTAATAAAGAGAATAAGAAATTGACACCCATCACCAAGTTCCCAGAGGTAAACATAGTTCATGGGGGCTATGGTGATTGATTCTGTGGGACCCACAGTCAGACATGAGCATGGCTCTCACACTGTCAACAGCTCTACAGAGGGATGAGACCCGCAGGGCCAAAGCTTCTGAAGACAGGCTGAAGCAGAGGTTGCAAGGGCTGGAAGCTGAACTGGAACGGGCCCAAAGCGAAGGGAAGGCCACATATGCAGGTATGATTTGATTGACCAGGTGGGCAGGAGACAGGGGCATGGAAGAGGGCAACCAAGAAAGTCGGGAATTCAAGGAAAGGAAGGGGAGTTCTAACTGCTGTAGCCTGTCTCTACCATCCCTGCCTAGGAGGCTCCTGAGAACCTGGCAGAGTGTGGATCACCACAGTCTAGAACGGCTAATGCTGCACGTTTGATAGCTACGTAACAAATGTAGCCACAACCCTTTCTTTCTTTCTTTCTTTCTTTCTTTCTTTCTTTCTTTCTTTCTTTCTTTCTTTCTTTCTTTCTTTCTTTCTTTTGGTTTTTCGAGACAGGGTTTCTCTGTGTAGCTTTGCACCTCTCCTGGAACTCACTCTGTAGCCCAGGCTGGCCTCCAACTCACAGAGATCAGCCTACCTCTGCCTCCCGAGTGCTGGGATTAAAGGCGTGCGCCACCACCGCCGAGTGCTGGGATTAAAGGCTGCTGGGATTAAAGGCCTGTGCCACCACTGCCCGGCTCACAGCCCTTTTCTTTATCTTTGGGAGTGAGTGGGAAGAAGGGCCAGGGTCCCCCTCTTAAGCTGAGGTGTGTGTGTGTGGGGGGGGGGGGGGTCGGTTTCTATCTCCCAAACTTTCAAGGTCTCCCAGGTTTCTCAGTTCTGTTCCTGGAATGAGACTTTTCCCCACTTCATTTCCTTCCTTTGTGCCTCCATCCCAACGGCTCCCACCTCAGAGATGAGTCGCCAGCGTCGGGCCCTGCAAGAGGAGTTGAGAACCAGAAGCAAGCAGCTGGAGGGGGGAAGCGAGAGGTCTTCGGGAACAGCTCGGTAGGCCGCATCACTCACCCTTTCTCTCCCAGGTCACCAAGAAGGCCCAGCATGGAAGAGTGCACGTAGAGTATCCAACTCTAGACGTCTACAATTTGTTGCTTAAATATTAACTAGGGTCACCTTTACCCCAACTTTCCTCTGAACAGAGTTCTGTGGCACAAACCTCTATGCTAGGGGCTGGACTTGGCCTCTAAGAGAGTTGGTTCGGCAGTTAAGAGCACTTGTTCCTACAGAGAACCTGAACCAGCACCCTCACAGTGGCTCACAACCACCTGTTACCCCAGCCCTAGGGGATCTGATGTCCTCTTGTGACCTCCACAGGCACCTACATGGTGTATACACATACACGCAGGCAACACATTCATACACATAAAATAATAACTCTAAGATTTTTTTTTTTGAGATAGGGTTTCTCTGTGTAGCTTTGACACCTGTCCTGGAACTCACTCTGTAGACCAGGCTGGCCTCGAACTCACAGAGATCCGCCTGCCTCTGCCTCCCGAGTGCTGGGATTAAAGGCGTGCACCACCACTACGCGACTGAAAAGAAAATTTTTTTAAAAGCCCTCTAAGCTAGAGGACTGTCACCCCATCCCCCCCTTGGTTTAATCTCCCCAAGTCCAACAGTTACCCCTTCACGGCCTTGTCTGTCCTAAGCGAAACACATTCCTTATTAGTTTAGCTGACTTTTACACCCAAACTATAGGAAACAGTAGATTTAATTGACTTCAGTATCTTCAAAGCCGAGCACGTGCGAGAAGGCCTTAAATTACTACTTGTTAAATCAGTGAATAAACCAATCAGATGAGAAAACAGGTCAGAAGAGGGCATCGGATCCCCTGGAACTCGAGTTAGAATGACTCTGCACCACCAGGTGGGTTCTGGGAACAAACCCAGGTTCTCTGCAGGAGCAGCAGCCCATGCTCTTAACCACTGAGCCATTGCTCCAGTCCCTCCTGAGTCTTGTTATTCCTCAAAAGCCCAAGGTAGCCTTGAACTCACAGTGATCCTCCAGCTTCAGTCTCCTGAGTTGTAGGATTCCAGGTGTGAGCTATCACATCCAAAATATCTTCAGTTTTGCTATAAATATTCATGAGTTGCTTATACAGGCCACGGATTCTGTCTCTAACCTTGGCCTTCTTTCAAATTAAAATTCAACATGTACTGAACACCTATGTCGGGTAGGTGCTTTGTCACCCATTTTCACATTGAAGGGTCACAGCAAACAAGAGGAGCACAGGTCATTTTCCCTCCAAAGATTCTAAAGAAGGGGCTAGAGAGAGGGCCTAATGGTGATGAACACTGACTGCTCTTCCTGAGGACCTGGCTTTGATTTCCAGCACCCACATGGTGACTCACAACTATTATAATTCCAGTTTCAGGGGATCCCATCCAATGTCCTCTTCTGTCCTCCCCAGGCACCTGCATACATGTACATATATACATACACGGGGTGGGGGGGGAGCAAAATAAAATTATTTTAAAAACCAGATATATAATTAAAAGTAAATAAATGAAAATATTTATAAAGATAAAGAAACTGAACCATGTTAGTTGGTACAAGTCTATAATCCCAACCCAGAGAGATAGAGGGAAGAAGATCTGGAGTTCCTTAGCTACTTGGAGAGTTTAAGGCCAGCCTGGGCTACGTAAGACTCTGTCTTAAACAGAACAAAGCCAAAGATTTAAGACATGGAGACCCAGAGATATTGGTCCCACACTGGATATGTAACAAGCACCTGACTTCGGACCCATCTCCTGTCTCAAAACAGCTACTCATTCTGCCGTACCTCAGTGAGTCCTTACAGAGACTTCAGGAAAGTTGATGATCCTGGGAGTCTGTACTGTCCTCTGTCAAGGTACCCTTTTTAGGTACCTTTGGTTACTGCTCTTGCTATAGTGTCACCGTCCTGTCTTCTTTATCTTCCTGCCCTGCTCCCTAGAAACATGTCAAAGGGAGGCTAAGGCAGCGAGGGAAGAGGCGGAGCGAGCCCTCAGAGAGCAAGATGAAACCCTGGCTCAGCTGCGTGGCCACGTGGCGAACATGGAGGCCAAGTATGAGGAAATCTTGCATGTAAGCACCATTCCCTGGAGGCCATCTTCTCAGTATCCCATAACCCTCCATCCCTTTGCCCCCAACTAGTGTGATGACCCACAACCCAAGGAAGCCATGCTCTAAGTGTAAGCAGAAGACACAGCCATTGACAGAGCCAGTGACTTGTAATCCCATACGTGAGTGGCTAAGGCATGAAGATTTCGAGTTGAAGGTCAACATTGGCTACAATGTACTATGTAGCTGCTACATAGTGAGACCTAGACTCAAAATAATCAGGGGCTTGGGGTACAGGTCAATGGTAGAGCTCCAGCCTAGTATGCAAGGCCATGGGTTCAATCCCCGCCCAGACAGGGGAGGAGGGAAGTAGGAAGAGGAGTCGGGAGAAGAAGGAGCAGAGAAAGAAAGGAGTGGCATGAGCTTGTAATCCTACTATTCAGGAGGCTGAGGCAGACGGATCATAGGTTCAAGGCCAACCTAGGTACAGAGTTCAAGGCCAGCCTAGGCGGTATAGTAACAGACTCTATCTCAAAACAAAAAGTAAAAAGAGGGGTTGATGTACAGCTCAGTGGACAGGGTACTTGCCTAGAATGTGTGAGGCCTTAGGTTCAATCCTGAGTGTTGGAGAGAGAGAGAGAGAGAGAGAGAGAGAGAGAGAGAGAGAGAGAGAGAATGGGCAGCCAGGCATGGTGGTTCATGTTTACAAACCAGCACTTGGGAAGCTGAGGCAGGAGAATTCTGAGTTCAAAGCCAGCCTGGGCTACAAAGCAAGGGTATCTTATGGAAGGAAGGGAGGGAGGGAGGGAGGGAGGGAGGGAGAGAGGGAGGAAGGAAGGAAGGAAGGAAGGAAGGAAGGAAGGAAGGAAGGAAGGAAGAAAAAGAAAAAGAAGCCATTGGCAAAGAACTATTACCAAGCTGGGTAACCTGAGGCAACACTCACCCCTCCCTCTCTTCCTGGGAGCTGAAGGCTTGGTGTCCACAGGGCAGCCTGGACTGTCTCTTGGCCAAGCTGAGAGCTGTCAAGCCTCAGTGGGATGCAGCTGTGCTGGGACTCCACACCAGGCACAAGGAGCAGCTCCGTCAGTTTGGTCTCAACCCCCTGGATCTTTGAGGCCATTGGCCGCTAATCTCTGAGGCCCAGCAATAAAGCAACTTGATGTAGAATTCAACGGAACTGTGGATTGTGGCCTTTGGCATTGAGGGCTCTTGTGGGGACATCTATGTTCTGGGCTAACCCATTGTCCTACTGTCCTAAACACGATAAGAAATGAACAAGGTTCTAAACCCTCTCCCACAGAAACTAAAGCCTGGAGCACCTTCGGTTCCTTTAAACTACCTTGGCTATTCTCACCGACAAAAACAAAGCCAGATTGATAGGGAAAGACTGCATATATATTTACTTATTTATTTGGACAACGGCATACCAAGGTGCTCATACAGAGGTCAGAGGACAACTTCCAGGAATTGATTCTCTCCTTCTACCATGTGGTTCTGGGGATCGAACTCAAGGCCCAGCAGCAAGCCCCTTTACCAACTGAACCATCTCACCGGCCAACTGGGAAAGGCTCTGACAGGACATGACAGTGGCCAGGAACCAGCTCCCACCTTTCTAAGGTGCCCACCGAAGGAAAGTATGACTGATCTCCAGATCCTCATGTCACATGACACTGGGGTCATACCTAGCCCAAGTTCTCAAAGCTTCGATCCTATATGGCTCTACAGCATCACCTTCTTTTTTTTTTTTTTTCTTTTTCGAGACAGGGTTTCTCTGTGTAGCTTTGCGCCTTTTCCTGGAACTCGCTTTGGAGACCAGGCTGGCCTCGAACTCACAGAGATCCGCCTGGCTCTGCCTCCTGAGTGCTGGGATTAAAGGCGTGCGCCACCACCGCCCGGCCAGCATCACCTTCTTGGGCAGAAATCCATCTTCGTAGCACAGCTCCTCAAAACTTCTACATAACACCCTGTGGAGACTCAGGCTCTCTCACGAGCCTGCCTGAGGCCTCTGTCCACACCCCTCTGCTGGAGCTAGGCTCATGAGAAGGGAAGAAGGTCCTGTGACCAGTGGTGTCTGAATCCTCCAGCTTCTACTTGTAGCTTGGAGAGACCATTCCTGGCTCCCTCCCCCTCAGGGTGCAGAGCAAGGGCAGGAAAGCCACCAGGCAAGTCTGTGGTAGGCAGCGGTGTCCTATAGCCGCTCCAAAGCCAGGGTCCAGTCCTACACAGAGAGAGGAAGGACAGAGTCAGGCTGGGACCAGAAGAGTTCATTTTCCTGCCCCAACACGCTCTGGCTGCTCAGGAACGGGACTTGTTTCATGGATCCCTCTGTCCTCACCTCCTATGGCCTACAGTCCCCGTCTCCCCTCCCCGCCCCCCACACCCCACACCCCACACGGCTCTACCCAGCAACCCTCCTCTCTACCCTTCTCATAGTTCCACCTGTCTCTCTGCCTTTACCTTTCCAAACTCTGAGGAAATCCAGGCTTCTAAGCTCTGCAGATTCCTAGCTGCCAGCGTCAAGCAGAGGGGTGGCTCCACCTCAGCCAGCTGCTGAAGTCTACCCAGGTCATTGTCTCCACCCACAGGATATCCATTCACCTCCAAAATTTCATCTCCCATTTGCAGCCCCGCGCGGGCAGCTGAGCCTCCTGGGGTCACCTGGCAGTACAGGGGACACACACGGAAGAATTTGTCAGGTGTTCTAAGGCTGGGCATGTAGGGAGGCAGAGGCAGGTAAGTGATGAATGATGGAAAAGATTCCAAGGCACATAGGGCATAAGTCACCTGGGAGATGAGACAAGGCCCACTGGCCACACAGCAGAGCCTGAATCCATAGCCACCTCCAGGCCCAGGGTACAAGAAGCATTGGCGGGAGCCACCAGGGCTGGAAGGCTCAACTGCATCTTCAACTAGAAGACCTTTGGTTTCGGCCAGAGAGGAGGAGGCAGCAACCTCCGTGTTCTCTAAGAAGAGGAGGGGAGACAGCCGTACCTGGGGGTGGGGGGGCAGACAGAGCAAGCCTGTGGCACCTGAGCCCGGCTCCGTTCCCATCCTCTCCCTCACGCCGTCACCTGCGCACCATGCTGAAGAAGCGGTCAGCCTCAGGGTCGACGACAATGAGGGAGACACGAGAGCCCTGTGCTCGGATCCTGGACACGGTTTCCTCATGGCCCAGCCCGTCCACGCTTTCCCCAGCCACAGCCACCAGGCGGTCCCCAGCCTTCATGCCAGCCTTGTCAGCTGGCAGTCCCGGGTCCACCTCCCACAAGAACTGCCCTGGGACATAGACATATTCACTGCTCCTCCCAAACTCACCCCCATGCTCTCCCAGGGACTAGCCCCGTAGTCCATGGGAGGATGCCTAAGGGCTGTGTGGCTCACCTCTCATGGACATCGAGAAGTGCGCAACTGGGTATGGATGACCATCCTAGGGCCCAGTTCCTACCCACCCCTGGGGCTGCCACTCACCGAGGCGACCATCCAGGCCCTTCTCCTCCCGGAGCAGGAACCCAAAGCCTTGAGGCCCTTTCTCTATGTTTAGACACCGGGGCTTGGCGGGCAGTGCCCAGCCCTCTGCCAGAGGGGCAGCAAGAGGCATCCCCAGTTGATGACACTGTTCCTCTACCTCCGGCCCTGCCACCAGCAGAGTCACCTGATCTCCACTCTGCCAAAGCTGTGGGGACCCAGCAAGAGTATAAGCATAAAGCCATCTGTGTGGGGATGGAGAGGCCCCTCCCCCCAGGCCCAGGAATGAGGGCAGGCCTCACACAAACTATAGAGAAAAAAGGAGGGGCAACACAGGCAGACCCTCAGGAGCCACCGCAGGAAGCCCTACCTTCCGACTGAGCTGGTTGGAAGTGAGCTTCTCCACACTGACCCCATTCACTTCTAGCAGCCGCGCCCCAGGAGGCACGCCTGACCTCTCAGCCGCTCCTCCCGAACTGAGCACCAGCCAGAAAGGACCCCGAGCTCCTAAAGGCAGACAAAGTAACTCCCAGTCTGCTGCTTGCCTAGAACAGAGGCTGACTGCCCCATCCCTGACTGCCCCGTCTCAGGCCCTAAGCTCACCATGGGTGATGCTGAAGCCAAAGCCGCCTTCATCTTTTACTACATGGCACAGCCGGGGCCTGACCTCCGAGCCCAGGGTAGGACAAAGGGAGACATCGCTCCCCTGCTGAGCAAGCACCACATCGTGCACATGTCCTGCCAACACTGTCAGCAATACCCGGGGACCGCTGGCCCGGATGAGGCGCACTACCTATATAAGGACACGGGAGTGAGAGTGGTTGGCCCCCTGGTGAAGTGCCAGGATGCCTTAAAACTTGCATTTCCACTGTAGAAATCTGCAGGTGCCTTTATCAAATCCTTCTAACCGGGTACCTCCGTGGGGTCTAGGTGAGAGTGAGACTTGGCCCATGCACCAGAGTGCCTAGGCAGGTGTCAGCCTCCTCTTCCCCTCTGAAGGGCTGTGGAATGTTCCTTTGTACCACAAGGAGTCCAAGCCCAGCCTCACCACGGCATAGTCTTCATGTTCCACGATGCTATGGTTCACTGCGAGGATCCGGTCTCCTTCCCGGAGACCATGGCGCTGGGCAGAGCTGCCTGGATCCACCCTGCACACCACATGGTCAGCCTTGCCCAGCTGCTGCTGCAGATGGAACCCAAAACTCTTTTCCTCCTCTTTGCTCAGCAGACAGAAGCGAGGCCGTTGCAGGTTCCAGGGATCTGGAGGTAGCAAAAGAGGAGCAGGGGTAGAGGAGGGGAGTGGGCACACAGTCCAAGTACAGGACCATCCACTGGCTGGTAGCCCCTGCCTCCTGTCGGAGCACTGGGCAGCTTCCAGCCAGTGAGAGGGTGGGCTTTATAGCTGAATGGACGGACACTGCATGGGCAGGGTGCCTAAAGCAAAGGGAAAGCCGCCCCCTCTACCTCTGCTTAGTTACTGATATCAGAGGGAGGCCGTTAGTGGTTACCAAGGAGACAGGAGGCTGTGTGGCACTGTAATGTCTCTACGGAAAAGGGATCGTTGCCAGGGGTGAGGGGTTACCAGACTGGTCCTGGTCTTCCGCCAGGGAGAGGACAGGATTGTCAATGCCCAGCCTTGGATTAAACTTAAACTTCCTGTAAGGAGACGGGAGAGGCAAGTAAGGGAAGCATGTAGCTGGACTGGGGTCCCAGGTCCTACTTGAGGTGCTGATGACAACTGAGAGCCTTCCCACCTTCAGTTCATCTTCAACCCTCGTACTACTTACTGAGTTAACAAGGCCGTGTCTTGAAGATCTGCTGGACAAACGAGGGGTAAGAGTGGAGACACACTCCTCCCGAGATGGGACTTCCATGCTAAAAACCTAGAAAGGCTTCAGAGAACCCCAAACCCCTCCCATTCTGCTCTGCGATCTTCACACACAGGGGTGTGGACCCCCCTCTATTTCCCTCCCGCAGCTCTGTGGCACATAAATCTGAGCCTATCAGCACAGGGCGTGGACCAGGAAGACAGACTTACATGCTCACCTCATTCCTCTTTAGCTCTGTCTATTTGCCTCAGAGCTACAAGCCCCAATATCAAGTGTGTCCTAGACCCAAAGATTCCAAATCTGTCCCATCTGCTGCTGCCCCAAAGTCCCCTTCCAAGGATATCTCCCCACCTCCTACCTGCGGTTGCCTCCATAGTTGGATCAGTGACCCAGGACTTAGAGTAGGGACAAGGTTCATTATAACCAGCTGACCCTCCCACCTGCCCCCTCCAGAGTCCCGCCTCCTTGAAGACGCTGCAAGGAAGCAATGGGGTAATGGTTAACAGCAATGGGACTCTTTCTCTGGAAAGTGTGTGTTTATGTCCCTTCTGCCCCCAGGTCTGGGCCCTACCTTTCTCGAGAGAGCCTCTAACTAACCTAGTTGTTCTTGTGCCCAGAAAAAAAGATCACTGGTCAGTGTAATTCCAAGCTGGGGGCAGTAAGTATGAAAAGGGTGACAGGAATTCTAAGGCCCAGCATGGGCAACCTCATCCCAGGGTCTTACACACAGTCCCTCCAGCGACAAAATTATCTAAAGATATTTGTGCCTCTCCCCTTGGCTATCAGACTATTCAAACAATGGATCCAAAGAATTGGAATTTCTCCAGGAATCTTAAGCTGGGAAAGAGAAAGATGAATCCCTCTCTGATGCCAGCCAG